GTTTTTACTGGTCGACGAGTCAATGCTGGAACAAAATCAAAAGTAAAATTTTAATAAAGAAAAAGAAATAGGCGAATAAATTAAAATTTTCGTTTTTTTTTACTAGGTTCGATTTATTTTATCAGGCGCTAATGATGAAACAAATGTTCGAACATTTTCTGATTCTCATCGAAAGATTTTTCAACGTGGTGGAATTGATGCGTTTATTATGGCTGTTCCTAAGTAAATTTATTTATGTAATTATTTTAAAAGATAAAGAAGATGGCATTTTAGATCATTAGGATTATTGAATTATATTCGTATTTGGCATGATAATACTGGTCAAGGTTCATTAGCATCATGGTTTCTAAAATATATTATTGTTCGAGATTTGCAAACAATGGAAAATTTTCATTTTATTTCTCAACAATGGTTTGCCGTTGAAAAAGATGATGGACTTGTTAGTTATTGTATTTGCACTTTTTATTCACATTTCTTTTTCTTTTCGTTGTATTAGATTGAACGTATTCTTCCGGTCGCTAATGAAATAGAAAAACATCAATTTTCTTATGTATTATCTAAAAAAGCTTATCATAGTATTTCTGATAGTCATTTATGGTTTTCGATTTTTTCTCGGCCACCTTCAAATAAATTTACACGTGTACAACGATGTACTTGTTGTTTTGTTTTATTATTTATTTCAATGTTACTTAATATAATGTATTATGATTTATCAACTGAAGCAAAATCGTCGAATAAAACTGAGGGTAGCAGTTTATCAATTGGTCCTTTACATATAACTCCTGAGCAGGTATGTAAACTTTTCAAGTGACGAACTTGAAAATTTCTCTCTGCTACACACAGTTAGATTATCGAACAAAACATTATGTAAACAGCAATAAGTAAATAAAATACAACAGTTTCGCAGTGATTGTCAAGCTATTATTTTCTACCATTTGTTTATGAGATAATTAATAATATATTCATGTAAGGAGCCAGGTTCATATTTATATTATTGTAATAAAGACGTACTTAATGTTTCTGCTTGAAAATAGTTCATCATAGTCAAACTCAAGTTTTGAGTAACATTATGAAAAAAATGTAGTATTTTTGTAGAAATGAGCAATGACAACTCGAATTTACACTCAATTCCAGATTTGAGAGTTTTTAAAATCAAAGTTGAAATTAAAGCCAATGTCTCTATCTGACTTCAATTGAATTCCAGTGGATATTATGAGACCTAACAAATGAAAAAATATGATAATGAAAACAGATATATGCATGTGTATGATATTTAAAAGGTCATTAATCGATCTATGAATG